GGGGGGGGGGGGGGGGGGGGGGGGGGGGGGGGGGGGGGGGGGGGGGGGTATGTCGTACAAAGGACCTCTGTTATTCCGAAGGTCTCACCTCAGCAACGCAAGCTAGAGGGATACAATCTAGTGGGATGGAGTACAAGTTTCGAGGTCACTTACAACCGGATATCGTGTCCTCTGTTACCATTCTTGTTTAAAGAGAAACGCGACGACGGGAGCGTCGTTGTTTGCACGGACGAGTGGTTAGACCGTCCTTGTCTAGCGAGCTGGCGTGCGGCGACTAGGGGCGAGCCTATTGTATCGGGAGGCAACCAACCATCGATCCCGTGAGGTGGCATGGATACGTCGTAGAGTTATTGTTTTGACTTGAGACTGGAGCCTGCACGAGCACAGGAATTCCCAGGAAAGTGGTTGGCAGATAGAAATGTACAATGCATGAGGCTGACGGCATGTCGAACAGTCTCAATGGGTGATTGCGCCAATTGCGGAACAAGCTGGGGAATCTGTGCAACCAATGGTCTGCTGCGCCAATCAAAGAAAACAAAACCCACGTGGTCGTTTCACACATGCGGAATGCGAGGGTGGATCCACGTTGGTGGATGCTATGCATATGTATGAGCAGAGGTAATGTTCATGTTTCCAATCGATTGCCGGGCCGACAGCGATGGAGCTAGCTGATTGGTCCACGGGTTACCCCGTTCCTGCGCACCAACCGTCGCAGAAATTTCCACTTTTTTTTTCGACTCGGCACGTTGCAAGGTTGTCTGCCGAACACGGTGAATCAATCGTCGTTTTGTCCAACTGGGCGTTGAACCACGGATGTGGAGTTGAGTTGGACTTTTGTCTACGAACCTGCTGTAGTATCTACAGGCTACAATGTAATCTACATGCGGTGAAGATACGTTTGTCATGTACAGCAGTGATTGCGCGTAGATAGATCTATGCACAAGCACAAGGTGAGAGGAGGGAACTTGTATGCAGTACTTTTGGATACTCGGAATTGACGTTATCGGTACTTTATCCAATCAAGCACTAAACTATTCACCAATGACGCGAAGTTCTGCACACCACGATAGCAGGCCTGGCATGGAGAGGAACACGCCGCACTGGGCTACAAAGCAGGTTAAATGCAATGCATGGATGCAAGGAACGTGAGTTGCACATCAAACATTCGAAACAAGTTTGTGTGTGGGGGGTGAAACCGTCATCCGTGTGCCCCCCCGATGTTACCCGCATCTTACGAGTGCGAGACATGGTGATTACACCAGGGCAGAAGTCAGGCCCAAACTTACAGCCACAGCACTGCTCACGGCTCCATGCCTTGGGAATAAAGGGGGCCTTGGTACCCGTTTCTCGCCATGTGGAATCGTAAGAGTGCTGTGGCGACAAAGCTCGAAGGGTAAGCCGGAGTGTTTGCTCGGTCAGACCAACCATGTTCTTGGAACTGAAAAGCTAGCAACCAAACGGGGTAGGGTTTGATACCGAGGGTCCAGCCAACGACGTAATGGAAAGCGACGAGAAACTGCGCACGCTTAACCGCTCTCCCTGAGCATTGCGTATTCCTCGTCGTTTGTTGTAGATGGTCAGGCGTTGTGCTAGAGAAAGCGAAACAGAGACAGATTAGCCTTAGTCGAATTCCTTCCGCACGTGACGCAGTGGACACCTACCTCCCGGATGAAACGTTCACACCATCACCCTCTGGTGCCCCTCCCCTTCGTCGGTCGCCACGCGACGTCCAGGGAGCAACAGCAGCATCAACGATGTGACCGTAGCGAAAGCCTAGTAGAGGCAACTGGCGGAGGGAAGGAATGCCGCAGGTCGCAGGCAGTACAAGTGTCGCCAGAACACTTGTTGAAGCCGCAGGCCGCCTCGTCATCGTCAATCGCCGCTGCTGCTGCTGTCGGCAATTTCGAAGCTAGTTCTGTCGAGGGCAGCCGGTACAGTTTAGCCGCCGGGGAGATGGCCGGAGCTTGGAGTGGGAGTCTGGCAGGGGAAGGAGAGGGTACAGCAGTAGCGTGTGCGGTTGGAGAGGGAGGCGCAAAGGGAGACAGCAAAAGGAGGTTGCTGAGGTGGCGATCGATCCGGCGCCTACAACAACAACACAAGTCGTCCGGAGACGTCAGCGGCAAGTCCACCGTCAACGGTGGGGGGAATACGGCCGCATGTGGCAGCAGCACGCAGTCGCCAAGTCGGTCGCCAAGTCGGCTGTCGCTCGGGCGCCTTCGCAGAGGGTCGGCGACGGCTACAAACACAACAGGGACGGCGGTGGTGGCACCAGCACCGGCCCCTGTAGCAAGATCTCCGGGTGTTTGCTTGAACCGCTGCACCGCAGTTCCCCTGCAACAGCGAGGCGGCTCCCCCGACGACCACCTTGTTACCAGCATTGGCAACGCTAGCTCCGACTCTAAGGCGGTTGGTGACAATAACAACACTAACAACAACACTAACAATAACAGCAACAACAACAGCGCCACCGCAACAGCGGCGGCAGCGTCTCTTGTGATATCGTCGCACGACGACGAAAAGGCGAGAATATCGGAATGCCTCGTGCCCTCCGTACTACTCGACAACGACAACGACAACGGCGGCAGCGCTGGCGACGGGAGCGACCGCGAGCCGCTGTCGCCGGCGACCTCCATCGCCTCGGAGGGCGGCAATGCGCCCGGGTGGGCCGAGCGGGCGGGCCTTTCCGGCGGGGTTGCCGTTTCGGCCACCTCTAGAACGACGCGGGGCCGGTCGAGTGCTATCAGCAGGAGGAGGAGCCGCCTTGGCAAGGAGTGTCTGGTGGCCTACGACGACGACTTGTCGCCGCCGGCGACGGTCATGCCGGCGGCGACCAAAAACAGCGGGGACCGAGAAGTGCCCCGCTTCCTCCGGCCGGTGATGGTGCTGCTGACGCTCTCGCTGCTGGCGATCGGCGGGGCCGCGCTTCTTCAGGAGGCCCGCAGACGAAGGGCGGCAGTCGGGGAGGGTTGGGTTGTTGGTGGCGGCGGCGGCGGCGGCGGCGGCGGCGGCGGTGTAGTGCTGTTCGGCCCCGCGGCGTACGCGGCCGGCGGCGTGCAACTGCCGGAAGCGGTGGTGGACGACATTTTCGAGCACGCCGACAAGGACAAGAACGGAGTCATCGGGGACGAGGAGATTCAGTATGTGAGTTAGTTAAAAGCCAGACGGACAGAGTTTCAGTGAGTTAGTCTTACGGCAAGCTGGACATTGATCGTGTACAGCAGTAGTAGCTCGCGTGGACATGGGAGGGGCCTGATTTTTGTAGCTTGGCAGCGCGTAATTTCTCTTTTGTCTGTTTTTCAGTCGGTTCAAAACGTGCGTGGCTGTTTTTGATAGGTGTTCCTTTTGCTCGAGGGGAGAGTTTACGCTCATGTGCTTTTGATAATTGGGGAGTTCAATCCACCCACTTTGCGTGTTTGGACTGACTCGACATCACTTGATTCACTCCCGTCCGCCTCCCCTCCCTGCCCCCCAACGAACACCCCTCTAGCTCGTCGAGCGCGCCGGGGGCTCCCGCTTAGACGATGCCTCGGAGATCGAGGCCGGTGTGGCGAGCGTGATCAAGAACCTTGACAGGAACGCCGACCATGCGCTCTCTCGGTCCGACCTCAACGTATACTGGGACCGGCTGGGTGAGGCGGCAGGGTAGAATATGGCGTAATTGGCTTGGCTTGTCCACAACCGCTCACAACCGGTTGGTCGCCGTCTTGCGGAGCGTTCGGTTGGTCCGGTCGGATGGTGTCTGGAACACTCGATGAAAATAATTGCACCCGAACGATGCTGCTCTTGTCTTTTGTGTTTTTCGATGCGATGCTGCGTGCTTTTGCCGCCACTTGTGGTCACAACACGCGAGGGTTACAAGTGGTTCCCTTGGCCATAAAAAGAGCTAGCGAACCCTAGGTTGGGCGGCCTTCCCCTCTGAGAGAACCAGTGGTAGTCGTGCAGTCATCAGGACTTCGCTCCCGAAATCATGGGTCAGTCGTTGTCCCCCCGTGTCATCGTTGTCAGTGTTTCTAAACAAAAGGGAATAATCCTACACGAAAGGTCATGTTTCTTGAAGAAAGGGAATGTTCCTACAAGAAGAGGAACACTTCTAAAAGAACGGATGCCCTCGTGATCGCAGGAACGCTGCTGACGGTGGACGAGGCCGCCCAGTGGGTGCTGCACGCGGCGCAGCTACCCCAGGAGGTGGCCGACGCCTTCGTCAACAACATGGTCACGGGCTACGACTTTCCCGAACTGGCAGCACGCCAGGTGAGCGGTGCTTCCGGGGGCCCAGGTTCGGGCCCAGTTGTTCATCTCACCGTTGTGGAGGGTTTGTCTCATGGTTGGGAGCTTTGTACACGTTTTTCTGTTTTGGCCTTGTACGTCAGCGGTGGCAGCGGGATGCGAACCGGGGTTCGAGGCAGGGGAGAACGACGGTAAATAGTAGTCTTGGTGCGGTTGACTGAGGTCCGATGAGGAGGAGCGAGGGTTGACGGAAGTCTTTCTCAACTGCACACACAGAAAGCGAACGCAGAGCAAACGGGAGACTCGATCGGGAATACTTTTTTCTCACAGGAAAAATGGCTCGTGATTCGTTGCTTGCCTGAAAAATGATTAGCACAATGAACTACCGCGTGTTGCCCAAGGTGCTACTTCTCGTGTACCCTCATCTGATTTTGTTTTTTGTTTTTGTCAGAGTAAGTGTATTCATCGGTTGTCTTGCTTTTGACGCGCACGAAAAAATAAACAAGCAACACCACCTGTATCACTTAACAATCAATGTTTCGACTTTTTTTTTCTCTTTTCAAACGCAGGGCGCTTTGTTGGAGCAAGACCTCGGCATCACCCGGCCGGCCTTCAAGCGGAACCTGGTCCGCAGCATGCAGTGGAAGCTGTGGGGCATGGGCGAGGAACCCGCGGCCCCCGCGGGGCTCCGCGCGACGAGCTCCGCCTGCGGCGCGGTGAGCCTGGAGTGGGACCAGACGTGCCCGGCCAACAGCGAGCTCAGCTTCCCGGTGCACAAGCACGTGCTCCGACGGGCCCTGCTGGGCGCCGAGGGGGAGAGGGACGGCGGCTGGGTGACGGTGATGGCCGGGCCGGGCGGCACCTTCTTCGACGCGGGGCTCCAGCCGGGGGCGGCCTACCGCTACGCCCTACAGGCGTGGAACGCGCTGGGGCACAGCGGCTCCGTGGAGGTGGACGTGGTAGCCTCGTCTGAGGACTGCGCGCCGGGCCGGACCTCTTGGTTCTGGTCGCCCGGCGGCGGTGGAGGGGGAGCGGGCGGTGCGGACAGCGCCGAGGCTTCGGTGGGCGGTCTGGTCGTCGCTACCGCGGTGACCGTAGCGGTGGCCTCTTGCTTGCGAGCGCTGAGCGGTGGCGGAGGTGGTGGTGGTGATGGCGGTGTTCGAAGGGGCGCCTCGGGAGATGTTGTTGGCAGTAGCAGCGGTAGCGGTAGCGGGAGTTTTGGTGGTAGTAGTAGCGGCGGCAGCGGCAGCAGAAGGGAGTCAGAGAGGATGAGACAGCAGCCCGGGGCTGCGATAACGGGCACGGCCGGAAATTCAGCGATGGCGGCGGCGGCGGTTTCCGATCGGGACGGGGATAAGAGCCGGGGAGGGGCGAGCTCGCCGAAGTCGGTTCACAGCAACGGCAGCGGGTGGGGTGACAGAGAGAGGGCCGAGCCTCGCACGAAGATGTTGGGCTCTGGTAGCACCAGGCCTGTGTCTTCGAGGCGAACGAAGGAAAGGTTGAGACGGGCCAGCAGCGACGTTTCTCCACCGAGAGGCGGGGCGACGGCGGGGAACCCGGGCGGCGGCGGTGGCGGCGGCGGCGGCCTGGCCAGGGCGGGCGTGAGCAGCGCGGCCATCGGCGATAGCGTGCGAAGAGAACGGGCGAAGAGGATGATGATGTACGGGCACAGCTCCTCGAGGGACGACAAGGATGTGTGCAAAGAGTGCGGCAAGGAGTGGAGATGGTGAGACTAAGTATTTAGATGTTGGGTGGGCCGCATAGGCACCCCGTCAAATTTTGTAACGGTGTATCACTTATGTCCCTTGTCTCTAATCACTGAAGCATCGATTCCGCTCCGCCTCTCATATGCCGTTATTCCGCTCTCTGGACCTACCACAGCACGCTTACGGGCAGTACCGACTAAAGCCAATCTGACCATCCTCTACCTGTCGTCTGCTCATCTCTCCTCGGCAAAAGGGCTTTAGTGCGTGCGTGTGAGATTCCGAAACATCGTAAAATATAGCGTAGATGAACTCCAGACAGAAATCGAGGGAGCTCACTCAAGCACACAAAATCACACGGGCCATGTGCAACGATCTTGCGCATTGTCACACGACCACCAGTCATCAGCACCTTATGGCCATCCGGGTGAATTCACCCGTAGTCTCTCCTCAAAAATAGTTGGTCGTCAACCGTGCGTGTACCGGAGTCCGAAGTCAGCCGTGCGCGCGCAAAGATGTGCTGTCATGGAGGCAATTTCAAGCGTACGAATCGTCACTTTTTACCCCCCATCCGTGCATGTCCTAATGAGTGCGCATGAGGGGTGGGATATATGCCCGAGAATTGGTGCCAGTTCTGTGCGTGGCTTCACGTTCGTCGTGGTTTGAAGTGAAATTTTTGCGGGAGTTAGGTCAGTTTCCTCGCAGAGCATGGAGCGCTGTTGTGTTGAGTTCGTCGTCCACTCTTGGTCAACAATAAGGTACCTCCCAATATCCGCCTGATGCAAAACAGGGTCCGCTCGCGCTGTTTCTCTTTCCACTTTAGCTCTCGCATTGAACAGTAGTGTGGGCCAAAACTAGACTCGGAGACTGTTGCCTTGTCTTGTGATTGGCATCAATTTTCCTCTTCTCCTGCGCCTCTTTCTGTGCCTTCTAATAGCCCATTCAGACGGGCTCCGAAAGCGCGGGTGGCGATGAAATTCCCCAGAAAGACTTGATGGCCCCCGAGGGTTGACTGCTGGATGCAACGCTAAGAGGTTGTTGCCAATATATTGCCTGACCGTTCGCCCCGCCATCTTCCCACCTCTCCCCCCCCCCCCCCCCCCCCCCCCCCCCCCCCCCCCCCCCCCCCCCCCCCCCCCCCCCCCCCCCCCCCCCCCCCCCCCCCCCCCCCCCCCC